TCTTGACGATTTTCAGGGCAATAGGTTCCGGCTATTTTCACCTATGTCAGCTCCAGTGCCAGGAAGCCCTTGCAGACTTCAAATCACTAGATTCTCGACAGTATGAAACAGGTTGGGTACTTTGCAAGGTTGGGAGGTGTCATTTCGAAATGGTTGAATACCCGGAGGTAAGTCGATACCTGAAGGCACTCCTCGGCATGTATCTCATGAGTGCAAATCAGGCCGAGCACGTTTTCCGGAGAGCTCGGGAATTGGAACCTTGCAGGTTGAAAGACATGGAATTTTATTCCACATTGCTATGGCACCTTCACAAAGAGATACAGCTGGCGAGCTTTGCACATGAGTTAATTGAGTTAGATCGCACAAGCCCGCAAGCATGGTGTGCCGTTGGGAATACCTTCTCCTTGCAAAAAGACTATGATCAAGCGCTCAAATGTTTCCAGCGGGCTATTCAAGTTGATCCTCACTTTGCATATGCGCATACACTACAAGGTCACGAGTATGTGAGCAATGAAGATTACGATAAGGCACAAAACGCCTTTCGAGCTGCCCTCAGAATCGACCGCAGACACTATAACGCTTGGTACGGTCTCGGGCAGATATATTTACGTCTCGGTAAACTTGAATTTGCCGAGTATCATTTTAAGAAAGCTTCCGACCTCAATCCATGCAACGCTGTCTTGTTGACCTGCGTCGGCATTGTAAGTTATTGGTCACAGACCCCCGCCGACATGGTTGTCTCACTCGTCAATAGGTGCAAGACAAGCTTCATCGACCGGTCGAAGCGCTCGACACATACAATCGAGCCACCCGGATGAACCCTAGCCCACTTGTCCGATTCAAAAAGGCCAAAACCCTGATGCTACTGAAGCGATACAAGGATGCCATGGAAGAACTGGAAGAGCTAAAACAATTAGCTCCGGAAGAGTCCAGTGTGTACTTTTTGATGGGGACTCTCTTCAAGCAGATGGGTGACAAGCGAAATGCGATGATGCATTTCACATGGGCTTTGGATTTGAATCCTAGAAGTGCACAAGCCATCAAGGATGCGATTGAGAAGTTGTCAGACGGTCCAGGCGAAGAAAGCACACTGTCGGGTCAAAAGTTTCCTGGTTTTGAGATGGCGGGATGATCCGCCGTGTATTACAGCATGTACAGTATCGAAACACTAGAATCCCAATGGTATCGACACAGCCGTCCAAGCCCTTAGGCAATCACTTCAACTGGCTTGCCAGTCTTCTTGATGGACTCAAACACCTTCTCTTGAGTGGTCGCATCGCCACTCACATGAACGGTCACCGTTTGTGAAGGCAAATCCGCGTCAATGCTCTGCACGCCTGCACAGCCTTTCAGTGATCTCTTCTTCTCCTCGTGAGCGTTCGCGACTTGTCACTTACCGTCCAACTTGGAGACCACGCGCTTCACGGCACCTGAGCATCCTTCACAGGACATTCCAACCTTGAATTTGTAGACGTGTTCCTACATGTCCGCTTGAGCACCCTCATCGTACAATGCAATCCCAGGGCCACTCACCATAGCGTAAGTACAAGAAAGAGAAAGGGAAGAGAGCAAAATAACAAGGGCGTCAATTCACCCCTTGAAATACGCCTTGGGCTGAGTCAGCGAAATGTCAGCAACGTTTTAGCCTAGGGTACATTGGATTGAACACCAGTGGTGGAGTAGCCTTTGGATTCTTTGCGTAGCGTAATCCACAGGCATTACATAATCTAGCAAGAATAAGCCACGGAACATGGGGATTGAATTACTTACTCTTTTGTCCCATTCGGTCCACGTCTCCACTCGGGTGAATCGGTTCGACCACAGAAAAGGCATACTTTGCCTGCATGTTGATCGGCCCTTCTATGTTTTGCATATCGTCGCTTCTTTTTCTCTTCGCTCAGTGCCTGCACCTCGTTGCGTAACTTTTTGTTGGTGAGTTGTAATTGATGCAGTTCGAATTGCCAGGATGTGGATCGCACGCTGACCAGTTCATCAAAGATATTGTCGTCTCTGAGCCCTGATTTGGCGTTTTCGGACGTTAAGAGATCTGAGCTGGATGCGCCTGGTGTGTAGGTAACAGATTGGGTAACGTCTTCTACCTTGGCTTTCTTCGCATTGTTTTTCAATATGTTCCGATTTTCCTCACTACAATTAGAGGAATAGAGAACAGTGAGCTCGATGTTCGGGGAAGGCGTATTCAGGATCAGTATGGGATCCGGTGACGAAGCAATTGTAGCGGGTGAGCGTGAACTTTCAGTAGAAGCGCTACTGAGCTCTCGTTGATCGTCTTTACATTGCCGTGTTTGTACAATTAGAATGGCCGGCTTCTGCTCGCTTCCGTCCACGTCGCCAGGGTAAAATGTGCTCTGCATCCGGAAATAGGCCCCTTTCTTGCCTTGCATGTAATGCCAGAGGTTCAGAGTGTTGCCTTCACGAGCTTGTAACAATGCCTTAGTAACATCCGTTACGCTATCTGAGCGTGTGAGCTGGTAGATGGACATGCCCACTAACTCGTCCACCGTGTACCCGAGCACATCAGGCATCTTTCCGCAATACATAAAGAGGCCATCCAGACTCATCTTGCTCCATAAATCGTCCTCCTGGACAAGATCAGCCCGGTTCATCCTATCTTCTTCCTTGACAGCGGTGACTTGAGTGTCAGCTCGTGCATTCCACACATCTGTCCATGTCAATCGGTATACAGGTCGTTCTCGAGCTGAAAGTATCAAACTTTTGCGACCTTTTCCAGCTTCGAGGTATAGATTGCCCTGGCATTCCACCCAAATATATCCTCCGTGCTGACGCCGCGCACGATATACGATATCCACCGTTTCGCCTTGTTTTGATTGCTTGAGTTCTCGCATCACTGCCACTATATCCGAAGGATGACACACAGAACTGATGGATCGACCAATGAGAACTTCGGGCTCGTAGTCCAAAAGAGCATTCGCGGCGGGCGAGCAATAGAGAAAGATGCCCTTGAGCGAGATGACATGGATGAAATCGTGCGTTTGATCCAGAACAAGCTCTAACCATCGACGTTGTGTTGTCGCATCGTCATCATTCGGTTGTCTAATCATAGTGAACAGTTCTGGTGTTGCCGGAAAAGCTGTTGAGGTTGGTAAATCTTGAAGTAGTCTTCGACCTGTTCTACCAAGGTTCCAGGCAGGCTTGGTGTGTAGTTGATGCGGTTTTTCATTTGATAGTTTAGGACATAGGTGCCGTCCTTCATTTTGGCCAAGGTGGAATTAGGTTGCTCTACAAGATCCACTTGGAGGCCCACAAAGTATGCGATTTCGTCAGTAACTCAGGTGAGGGGAATAATGGTGATTAAATTGATGAATGGTTGTCCACCTTTGCGATAATTGATGGCAGATACTTGTGACTCTTTGCCTGACATGATGTGCGTCTACATGTGATACACCGCGGCATTATCTGTATATTTGCGTCTCGATCCCACGGCGACGTTGACATCAGGAGACTGCAGAAACCGACAATGGGTGCCAATGATCTCCTGCGCCTGATAACCGGTGAGCGTCTCGAAAGTTGGAGATACGTAGATGATCGGAAAGTCGAATTTGCGTGCGTCGCTCACGACAAATGAGCAAGAGAAATCGATCGGTCCCACGTTGATTTGAGGATTTGGACGTGTAACGAGCCGAGCCAACAGACCGGTGACATCGAAGCCACTTGCAGAATATAATCCCGTCATGTTTGTCGTTTGCCCTATGCTTGGTATATTCCCGAACGCTGCAGGTGATGGCTTGGGGTCTGAGGTATTCGTCGTACTAAATGTATTGCGAAATGCAGGCTCAGGGGCAGGAAACTGCGCGCTCGACGACACGGCGAGTCTTTTGTGCGTCCACGCGTCTTTTGCCTCTTCGAGCAATGCCGTATCGGAGAACCCTCCGTCTTGCCGACGATTTCTGTTACCCTCAAGAGGTTGTGCATCGCGTAAAGCGAAGGTCTCTGGCAGATACGATTCTCTACCGAAACCAGCGCTGGTACTGGGAAAGTTGAAAGGCTGTTGCATCGACTGCTGGCTCGCATCGAAAGGCGAAAGCACCAAGATAGGATCGCAGAACGGATGTGTATTTACAAAATTGTTTGGCGTGCGCGCCAAAGTGTGTTCGGTCATGCTGTGTTGGTGACTATCATCATTGCTGGCCGCGACTTGACCGCTATGGGTGTCTTGCGGGATCTCACTATGCAGTTTCATAGGCACCTATTATCTGATCCATCCAAGTCTGCAGTCGCCAGCAAGAAGCCCAGAGAGACTTGCACCTAATGTACCATAAGTAGGGGTTCCAAAGTATAAAGATGGGTGAGTTATTTGGGAAATATTCTAATCGTTTAGGGCTGGCTTTGCTTGAGCACAATGAATTGCGTACTTGGCTGGCCAGAAAGGGATACCATCGGCCGATGACGTAGACATGACCCGATGCCTGAGGAACAAAAGACAGCGATTACTATAATAGGCAATGTTCCACGCCGGGTTCGAGCGTCAACTTTGAACTCTAATGCTCTTGGGTACTTCTATTTGAATTTGAGCTACTTCTATGGCAATACCTTTGGTCATCCTTCTCTCCGATCCTCCGCCTAAAAAAGGGTAACTCTGTTGGCTACATGGACAGAGTACTTCAAAGATGGAAACAAACTTGAAACTGCTTTCTTTGTGTTTGTAAAGACGAGTCGTTGGCAGGCACTGCCTATCGATAGTACAGGAGAAACGCAATTCTGGTGCATCTGCCAGTGTTTGATTGACCCACGCGATCAAAAAAAACAATTTTTACTCTGTCCGTGTCAGAAAATGATCATCCGTCAGCAAAATTTGGCACATTCCAATGCCCAATAAGAATTTCGACGCGTACCTCCCGAAATTGCATTGACCACCTGTCCATTGACCATTATCTTTGAGGATCTGCATCCTATAACCCTAACCCTATTTCCGAGACGGATATCAAATATAGATACAAGTGTCTAAAAATTTTTCATCGAAGGGACAGATTGCCGAGTAGGTCTAAGGCGCCACGTTAAGGCCGTGGTCTCGTAAGAGGCGTAGGTTCGAATCCTACTCTGTTCACTATCTTTTTCCATATTTTCTTTTTAGCCGGTGAATGATCTACAGACTCCAAAATTAGCTACAAATGCCCGTATGGCTGATCCACACCTTTACAACAGAAGACCTGATTGTAGCGGGAATATTACACGAAATGAACGGATTCAAAACCCGTCTCGATCGGGGGATATGCAAACCCCCGGAGTATCTTGCACCGAGATTTGCCAACGGTACCTCCCCTTGGTGACAATAATCGCTTCTGATTGGCTGATCGAGATAATTCTCTCATCACATGAAATGTCCGCAAATTTGGCGTAGTCTATGGCCATTTCAGGAACCGGGAGAACCCTTTCGCTATTTAGCGGAAACTCGTCCGTGGGACTGGGCGGGTCATTGTCATTTGCAAAGATACGCAATACAATGTGCAATTTTTCCTAGCCACCGTCGATCGGCCACCAAATGAGATTACGGCATATTTTTGACCTGGCTCACATGATGGACTGCATAAAATGCTAAACTGCAGCGAACCCATAGCGCTCTTTGAGTAATCTTCTGGAAGAGGTAACTTGTGAAACTTGAACGGCCCAGGCATATGGTCAAAGCGCACAAAAATAGTGAAGTGCCATCAAAGGGCCCTCATAGCTCATCTTTCCTCCTTATTAGGTCATGAACCGGCGGATCGGGGCCATCGAAAGTTCGCACAGGGCAAGGAGCAGCTGACCAGCAAACAGGAACCAAGTTGCGCACCTTTTCCTTTTTCCAGGACACAATACCCGTCAATTTACGTATGGCCACAGGACAAGTAGACTTTAGCCTGTATGCTCCCGAGATAACTGGATTCCTGCGAACGCCTTGTGTATCCTAGCAGGCCTTTTGTACACCAATTTTGGCGCATACTCCGGGCCTAAAAGGAAAGAACGGCAAAAAGAAAGACGCTTCATCTTCTGAACCGAATCATCGGCACATCTACGGACAAACGTACGTACAAGCAAGGTTACTGCATCGAAGCTTTTGAATTGCCGATTTAGTTTGCTTTTAGTTTTGCCATGTCTCTTTGGCTAGGATGCTGACGGGTGCTCACGACTTGTCAGCATCGCTACCTTCTAGCGATACATCTCCGGATCCGATGCTGGTAAGCATACCGCCCACATTCCGCGAGGAACGGTAAGTGATCGGGCAGGGGCGAGCATACGGGGCATGTACATCCGGTCCATCGTTTGTTTCCGTGCTCCTCAACGACATGCAGATTCTCCCCTCGTAAACTGGACGCAAGGCCCAAGAACATTCAGATACCTCCGCAGCAGCACTTAGCGGGTCAAGCAGCGGCGAATCCGTACGATCAAAGCGACTCCCGCATTGCTTCTGCGGACTGGTCATCGGGTAACCGGGGACGACAGGCCTCGCTCCCGCCGCGGTCGAGTGGTAGCGGCCGATGTAAGTGAACCTTTTACAGATCGGCAAGCACACTTACACTAAGCTGCCATGAACAGCTCATCCGAATGTCTCCCATGTACCTTGTAAATTTTACAGGATGGGTGCGTGCAGTGCCGGTGTAAACTGTCAATTTTCACACAGTATCAGTGTGGGTGCTGCTCCAACGACCGTATGCAAATACTTTCTCAAGGGCAATTGCCGCTTCGGCAGTAAATGTGCTCTGCCACATATTATACCCCGATTGCCTCGTCATCCACAATCCCTTGCGGGCGTGGCTCCCAGTTTACCAAGCTCCACACTCCCCAGCCCATGGGACAAGCAGCTGCAACCCTTGGCAGATATAACTCGACATAGCGCGGGACCTAAGTACGCCACACCCTATTCTCAAGAGCTGAATTTCATTGACCCTCAGACGATCGACGATGAACTAGACGAGATCCGACAACATATGCGAAATTTGTCCATGACGGCCTTGTCTCGAGGTAGAGATAACGCGGCAATGGCATGGACAGAAACAGGGACAGATGATATATTACAACTCATCCCAAAAACACCAAAGACGCCTATCCAATTCGAGGCGCCACAGCGTTCCCTCATGCCCCTTTTGATCAGATCCTATTCCGACACATTTACGTTACCCGTTGCAGGATCCGATGCATCCTCCAATAGGCGAAACACAATGGTGACAGACCAAGGCCGATTGTCGCCAGTCCCGTTGAGTCCAACGTACCCATCTCACTACCCATCGAGTCAAATAAACGAAGACGTGAGACGTCAACTGCCTTCATACCTATCCGACGTTCTCACAACAGAAGATTTAGCCAAGATGCAACGACGAGAACATATACGAAAGCTCTCGGGTGAATCGGGTCGTATCAGAGGCGACGCTGCTTCCGCCTGGCCATCTCAATCCACCACCGAAATGAAGAATAGGGCACAAGGACAGCCTCATCGGTCAGAGATGGCAGAAGACCCATTGCTGGGAGTCGATGCCAATTGGACTCGCGCACAAATATTCCCACCCTCCGGGACAACTCGCAAAGGGCCATATCCTACCACTTATTCATCGCCTTTCGGTGCCAACTCTCCCATCGCAGCAGAAACCGACCAACCAGCCACAGAAAAGAAACCAAGTGCGCGTCAAAAGCAATTCTTTAATACCGATGATATCATTTCCTTCTCGTCCGAAGAGGACTCGCAACCTTGAATACAATTCGGCAGGACGACACAATGTATGAACCGCGGCACCTTATTTGTCTACCTTTTTTCTATTAATGCCCAAGCGGATAGCGAATGGAACGGCATCCGTGGGCTGTATATTTCCTGTATAATCACAAACTCTTCACTTGAATGCCAATATATATGCTGCATTGTCGTCTACTGTGGTGGATAATGAGAGAGATAAGCCGAGAGCTTTTCTAGCGCTCGGAACCGATGCGATATGGTATTCTTGGTCGATTTTGGCATTTCGGCATAACTGGAAACATGGTCAGCTCATGGCGATGCCGATCAAGCGAGAGGGGGTCCACACTTACGTTTCATCGAATCCAGTGGGTTCAAAAATGGGATCCCACCCAAAGTTATTCGGACCTCTCGCAGGCACAATGCGTCCCTAATCAAAAATGGAGTGAGCTACAACTCTGTGTCTCTGTCGTCTCTCTCACATCCGTGCGACCTTCAAAGAGAATGGGCACTTCACCGGGTCCCTTGGATAAGGCAAAGATGCAGAGAGCATAGGCTGATTTGTCTTCATATCCGGCCAATAGTTTATTGAGACCCTCGTGCCCTAGGGACGCCAAGAACCACTTGCTATCGACGATAAGCGAGGAGCCATGAATGATGGTGTGCTGCTTATACTCACATGTATGCACCGGGTAACCCTTGAAGAGCGTTAAAGCAGAGACAGGTATCTTCGGTGATACATGGTCCTTGAAGCTAGACACGGTGAGTCGGTCGGACTGTAAACGGTGGGGTGTTGAGAACGTACCTGTTCAGCAGCAGCTATGCATTTCGCTCGCGCTACTTCCTCTGGAGTGCCCTGAATCTCTGGCACTAGATTGGTATGAGTAATCAACGCGTCATGTCAAATCAACGCACTCACAATCTAAAGAGCGATTCACCAAATCAACCGTGTCGCCGAGGATCGCTTGAACTTCAGCGAGCTTGTTCTTGTTGCCAGTAACAAAGACTGCATAGATCAGTATATCTGCCCCAAGAGCAGAGGCAACTCACCCAACTGATGCTTCCCCATACTCTCTCTATAATTATCGATGCGGAGGTTGCTTCTCTGCATCCAGATGTACAAGAACTTCCTTAACTTGATCACAGTCAGCCTTTACGGCTCTTCTAACAGCATCTTCCACTCTATGAGCTTTCTCAACAGTCAATGTTGGATTGACTTGCAGGATGAGATCCACGAGGATAAAAGGGCCTGCTTTGCGCCCTCGGATGGAATGAAAGTCGATGAGATCAGGTTGCGTTTTCTGTATTGAAACAGCATGAGTGTTCGATCGTGTAAAAGTGGTTGTTACACTCATTTACCTGAAGACGGGTAATGGCTTGCTGCACCTGTTGCAGGACATCATCGTCCACGTTTGCGTCCACCAACTCCTTGAGAGATCCGAGCATAATCTCGACACCTGTCTTGAGGATCATGCCAGACACGAGTATACCACCCAAAGGATCTAGTATAGGTACTCCAAAATGTGATCCAGCGATGGCAGCGAGCGCAACAATTGAGGAAAAGGCATCCGATCGGTGATGCCAAGCGTTGGCGATCAAGACATCACTCCTTTCGTCCTTGCCCACCTTGATAGCTAAATCACACATGCATTAGCTCATGTGTCTATCAATCATCATTGTGTATGCGACGTACTTGCTTGATATAACCACTCCTTGATGATCACGCTGGCCAATGCAAACCAAGCGGCATTGGGATTGAGCAAGGTGTCGTGGTGCTCATGAGCATGACTATGAAACGGTAACAAATTGCTAAGTGAAGCACCTTCGTGCGCTTCTTTGGCTGCCGCAATGCCAGCATCCACACTCGCATGTGAAGTAGGGGCAGAAGCAACGGCAGCATCTGGAAGCGCATTGCTATTAAGCGCACCCGTGAAGGTTTCGGGTAAGACTTGCAGCAACAGCTCGTACGAATGATATCCAATGCCCAAGGCACCCACGATCAAGATGGAGGATACAGCAAGGGAGCCTACTGTTTCATATTTTCCTGGTGATCGATGAGCTTCAGGGGCTAGTGCATCGGATCAATGTCGCTCAATACATACCATATCCATAAGGATGAAGCTCATCGGGTGGTCGTCGTGATACTCTGTAGGTATATAGGGTGACGAAATCGCTAATCATATCTATAAGAGGTGATGAGCGGTTAATTCAAGGCGCGGAATAGCGAACACCACCTACCCGAGAGTGAATGTGCTGCATCAGCTACCAGCGAAGCCGAGTTCATGACCCTACGGATAACATATGAATTCACCGTCAGATCATTCATATCTTGCCATTACCATCCAGCAACGCCTTTGGTCACGCATAATCCAACATTGGCGACAAGTCCAACAACCGTGATGCGCCAG